GCGGGCTACCCTGTACAAGCCCACCCCGTACAGCAACAACAGCAGCAGACATTGACCACCAGCCCCCCGCCGGAAACGCAGGCGAGACGGGTTGGTGCTTGACACGTGCCGTTCGGCGTGACACCCACAATGTTTTTTTGTGTGCTTTACTTGATGTTGCTGCTGCTGTTCCCCTTGGCCCCATGAAAAGAGCACCGGTATCTGGCATTCCCCCGGTCCACATCAAGGCTCCCTGTAGAGGCCCTGCCATTGTTTTCGTGGGTGTAGCACGCCAATTGATTGTCCCTGCTGTGCTGCACCTCGTGCCTTTCAACGCGTGCACGTTCGGTTCGCTGTTTTCGTGTACTCAGCGGTGGACGGCGAAACGTTTCATTTGTCTTGTCTTGTGAATCAAATATGGGGCAAGGAAGATTGAACTCGTTGGAGTAGGTCTACAGTGGCTCCCGTCGTATCCCACGGTTTGTCATGGTTGGTAGTCATGATGCCGCATGACGAACGGCCCTTGAAGCGTGGTACTGCTGTCGCCTCCACATTGTTACCCTGTTTGTCTGTGACACGCCACTTATTTTTGTGCTCCCGGCTCTCCCATACGGCGCAGGTCATGGGATGAAGCCAAAAGAGGTGACGAAAGCAATGAAGGCGTTGCACGAGGACAGCGACATCGACATCAACAAGCGCGCGGTGCAGAACGCAGCTGCCATTGTGCACGGGGCGGAGAAGCCGAGAGATGCTGCCGATGCGTACGAAGAGGTGTGTCCATGTGTCCGTTGAGACTGTTGCCTCTCTTGTTTGTGTGTGGGATGTTGGGTTTTGCTCAAGGCGGTATCCGGGCGACAAGACACATACGATCGCAGGTGACAACCGGGAGAATATATGCCCCATGACACCAAACCAAGAAATGTTGGAGGTAAAAAATGTGTGCCGTGCCGTCGTCGTGGTTTTGCGCTGATGCCCTCGATGTTTCCGGGCGCTTAACATGTTGCAATTTCAGGTCATGGCCGCGACGGCCGACGGCGGAGTGTGCGAGATCAAGATGGATGACAGCGGCCGCCTGACGCACATCTGGTGGCAAACGAGAGAGCAGGTAGGTCGCCGGTCGTTGTGCCCCATACGAATATTCCCCAGCCGGAAGGTTTGCTTTCATTTTAGCATCTCGCACGTACCGCTTCGCCGTCCGCAAATGTAGGACGTCTGACCGAAAGCACGCCGTAGGCAAGGGTGGGGGTGCGTTGTGACGCGTCCAACACACGTCACACCCACAATTAAGTGCTCTCGATCCCCTTCGACGTCATGCTCCGAATACGCAGGTGGCGCTTTGGAATCGGTACGGTCACGTTGCGCTCTACGACGACACCGCTGTCAAGAACAGATACCGTATGCCTCTCGGTGTGCTCGCTGTCGTCGATTCGGAGTATCGGACGCGGATCGTCGGCCAAAGCATAACGGCCGACACCACAACGGACACTTTCCTGTGGATGTTGAAGAGTGCGTTGGAGTCTCGCGGGAAGCAGCCGGATACCTTCATCCAGGACGCGGACGCGGCGATGACGGCGGCGGTGCGAGAGGTGTTCCCGGACGCGCTGGCGAGGCGCAATTTATGGCACCTCAACCAGAACGTTATCAAGGCCCTCGCTAAAGTCCTTGGTGGGTACATGAAGGTGCGCTCTACTGTGTGTGTTGGCGTGGTTAGTCTGGCCTCTCGTATTGTCCTGGTCGCGCGACGTACGCTGCCCACTCTAGCCCCCCTCCCCCACTCCCGCTTGTATCCCCTGTGCGAGTTGGTGCGTTGTCATGGATCAGTGTCGCCTACTTGGAAGAGTGATATCCAGCGTCTCTGCGTAGACCGTGATGCGGAGACGACCTCGGCTTCGACGGAAACATACCTCACGACGTCCAGTGCACACAGAAAAAGCAGCAGCAGCAGCAGCAGGTTGTAAGCACCAATGGTATGTCGCTGAGTTTTTTCAACCCTCTCCTCGTCTCGCCTTAGCGCTAACGAAGTGTACGGGGTTGTTGGTGGCAGTCAATCGTACAGACCGGTAGCCCATATCGCAAAGGCCCCAACTCACGCAACACCCACCCCGGCCCACGTCGTTTGTGTTTTCCGCAGCCTTTCATGGACGAGTTCAGGTGTGTGCGTCAGCAGCTGTCATTGGCGAAGTTCGAACGGAAGTTCAACGCCCTCATCGAAAAGTACCCGAAGGCGGAGAAGTACATGCAAGTAGTATATGACGACCGTGCACGGTGGGCGGAATATGTGTCGCCCCTGGTGTTCTCCGTGGGTTCGTGGACGACATCAAGAGTTGAAGGTGCGTGTATGCGTCATCTGCCATCATGAGCGTTTTGTTCGAGAACGACAGCGCATATAGCGTTGTCGTTGTTTTTGGGAGTTTTTCTACGTCTGTAGGGGTTGGGGGCGGCTATCTTCCTTGCCCCCTATTTACTATGCCATTGGTGAGTGCTTCTGGACGAATTTATCGTACGCCGTCAGTGGATGACCAGTAAACAACTCCCTACATGACGCTAATGTTTACGACCTCTTCGAAACATGTGGCTGTTGTCCGGCCCCTGTTGTTCGGGATTGATGTACTTGGTCGGTGCACTGCGATCGTCCGGCTCACGTGTACATACATCTGTGGCGATGGGTGCGTCAAGTCATAGGCTTCTCTTTCAGTCGTTTGGCGTACTGCGACTTCAACGATGTCTGATGACACCAATCACTAACCTACGGTTTGGTTTGTGTGTCGCTTCTTGCGTGTTTGTCCGCCGCACACACAACAGGCCAAAACGCCCTCATCAGGGATAGGTGCAACTCGCGCTCCTCGCTTTTGGACGTGGCGAAGTACTTTTCGGGCATCATCTGTTCCCAGAAGGATGCCGCCATGCTGCGTGACGCAATCGACCATCTGCCGCCTAATCGGATGGCGGCTCCACCAGCGACCGCTTTCAAGAGTGTGCTCGAGTCCTGCGAGTTCTCCATCGCGGGCTGGCCGCGGCGGTTCATGGAGCAAGAGATGACCGCGGCCATCACGTTTTGCCAGATGGGTGGTGGGGAGAGTGGATGGACCAGAACGCGCGGCAGCTTCGGGGCGCACGTTCGAGTTCATCGAGGACAAGCTTTGCGACGCCATTTACGTCTTCGGGATTCACAAGCAGCGTGATGACAAGGCCTTCGACTACCTCGTCTTGCTCTTTTCCGACGGTAGCCATCTCTGCCAGTGCCGCACACTCCAAACTCTCAGGCTATTTTGTCGCCATGTGTGGGCGGCGATGATGTACAGCCCCCGATTCAGATTCCACGTAGGCCTCCTGCACGAGCACTGGCTGACGGAAAAGGCGAGGGGAACACCGCAGCAGGACTGGCCGGATGTCGCCCGCCAAAGGTGGGTGGTATCCAACCGCCACGCTGCGAGAGAAGTGGACGGGGCGGCGGGAGAGGGAGAGGGAGAGGGGGTGGGGGGATGCAGCGGGAGATGGAAGTCTTTCGTTGGGAGCAGCCAGACGGTGCAGACGGTCCTGTTGGACTTGAAGGAGAAGGGGCCCACGGACCAGGATAGACAAGTGTTGTACGCCGACGTAACGAAGAAGCTCGGGCAAGCCGCGAGTATTTTGTCTGATCGCTTTTCACCGACAGTCGCCGTAGCCCTCGTGGACCAATTTCTGACGATGGTCAATGTGCAAGCAGGCGGGGTAGGAACTACAACGACGGGAGGGCGGGGGGCGGCTCTCTTCATGGCCAACCCTGGAACTGTTCGCCTGCCCGCTAGGACAAGTAATAAAAGACGACCTGGCGCTGCAGAAAGATACACAAGAGGGGGTAGCAAGAGAGCCGCGACTTCGGGGTCCCAACTCTAGTTTCGGTGTTGCATACTTTGGGGTACGTGAGTAGCGGTACGCGGCCCTAGGTTTACGACGTCACCGGGGCATATGCCTGAACGATGTTTTGTCCCCCCCCGGCGGCAGGTCAAGGCTCGGTGTGTTGTTTATTTTTCGCTTCGGCGTTTTTGCGCCGATCGCCGTCTGTGATGTTGTCGATTTTGTGTTTGTATGTCTATTTGGTTGTTGCGGTGTAGCGTTCGATGGGGCCATCTGGTTCCTGTCCTGTTTTTATTTATTTTGTTCCATTTCCTTTTCTTTTCTTTCTTCCGCCCCCTTTTTTGCCGTGTTGGGGTCATATCCAGGTCCTTTCATTTTTTTGGTGGGGGTCAGTCTATCATCAAATCGCTGTTGGATATTGATTGTTCTGTTTTGTTTTTTTCTGCGTCTATCTGTGCTTGTCGACCTGTGTGCTCTGCGAAGAAAACCGTGTGAGCCGCGTCTCGAGTTTGTTGAGCGGGCCTGCGGTGTGCGAACTAAACGATGCCTACAGATTTTGACGGCCCCATGATGACTGACATCCATCACGGCAGCACCGTGCAGCAGGTTATATCTACCAAAAAAAGAATACTGCTGTATGTAGTTCACAAAATCTACAGCAACAATTGCTTGCAGCAGCAGAAACGCACAACAACAGCAGCACCACACGCGGATAGACACACACACAGAGAGAGACGAGCACTCCTCTAAGTACGGGGCGTTGTGTGTCGTCGTGTCCTCCTGTTCCTCTGAGGCCTAGCGTCTCCTGGGCATCCCGGGTGCGAAGGGTGGCCTTGGCGTGAAATATGTGCCAGTATGGCAGTATGGACTGTTGAGGCTGTTGCTGCAGACGAGAGCTCTGCTTCCGAAGACAACGGGCGTTAGATCCAGGCTCCGAGATAATATTGAATTTGAGAGGGAGAGAGGAGAACCTCTTCGGGGACACTCCGGGCGGTTTCCCGGGGTTTCGATCCGTCCGGATGTTTGGACTGTGGTTCTCTTTTATAATCCATGGATTGCAAATATTCGCGCCCGGGAGACCGTGGTGTTCAGTGTTTGATTGCGTTCTGGTACAGGGGACACGTCGTTATCCTCCCCTCTGGACGAGGTCATCTCACCGCGGGTGGCTTCACAACCACCTACCATGGCCCCAGGCTCTCGGCTCTGCGTTCCTGCCTTGTTGGCGGCCGTGTCGTGCGTTGGGGGATTCATTCTTCCGTCGTCAGGCCCCACGAACCGCGGTACGCTCCGAAGACGAGGCTGCAATGGCTTGCCAACTGTTGGAGGTTCGCCCGCCTCTTCGGCGCACCATCACCGCCACCCCCGACGAGACTCAAGACGGAGTGCTCTCGGACCCGATGGAAACGAGATCGACATCATCAGGCATCGAGAGGCCTACTCGTATGCTGAGTATTGGGATGACTTTTACGCCGGGTGAGGAGGAGGAAGGACCGCTCGTTTAAATATGTTGACAGCGGTGGTTGAGCGCAGGGTTTGTTTGAATCTGAGCTGAGGTGTACCTGACTCCGTTGCATCCTGCGTTTGCGCGTGTCTTCGAAGCCTAGCAGCTACAGCAGTAATGATCTTTGCCCATGTAAAGTCTGTGTGGTGTTGAAGTTGATGCCTATGTATGCGCACCTGAAACTTGTCGCAATCCACGATTGCAGCGCTACTGCTGTACGTTGCAGAAACTATTCGTCGAGCTGCCCGGCTACAATATCACCTACTTCCCGTGTTGTAACTTGATGTCGGCAACAGCAATCGTACTCTTGTGTTCCATACGGCTAGCTGCTTCTGACCTCTCACAAACAAGTTGCATATGCAAGTCTTTGTGCTCCTGACACCATCCTGACACCAGACTGGTGCTTCGTGCTTGTATTCAGCTGACAGGGTTTCAGTGATACACTGCCGACGTCTAACATCAGTTGCCCTGCAAGTTGCGCCGCATCCCTACGGCCATGATCGTGCCTTGCCCCCCTAGGCTTATCGTCCTACGGAGGCGATTGCCATGTATTTTGGTTTTCGGTATTGGTTATTTAAAAAAAAATAGATTGGAACACAAGCTGTTGCATCTAAATCGAAAATCGCCTACTTTTACGGAGGACGCAACGCCTCCACTCTGCCGCTTGTGAAACCGGTTCACGTGTTGAACGTCGTTTTCCCGGAGAGTGGCTCGGCCTCCCTCAGCACATTGCTGTCTAGTTGCGCCGTGTCTACATGCAGGAGTCCGGCCACACCTTGCCATCTTTTCTCACACCTGAAGGTTATGTTGCCTCAATTGTAGCCCTCAACCCGCTCGCGTGTCGTACCCTTTCTGGCGTACTCAAAAGGCGTACATGTAGTCACATAGCGAGGTGTCGTGAATTGTTCCGGCTGGATTTTTTCAAACCTTGGCTTTGTGCGAGACTCACTTCCAGTCAGACCCTTCCAGTCAGACCTGCCTTTCAAATGGGCGGTTCATCCCATTCGCTCCCCATCCTCTTGAATTTTCTCCTGACCCCCGCTGTGCTTTTTGTGCGCGTGTGTGCTGCCGATGCGCATGCACGGTACGGTAGGGGGGAGGCGGGAAGCCTTAAGGACGGAGAGTCATACGACTGGTTCTTCGGCTACTCGAGGCTGGCGGTTTACTTGAACCTTCACGTCGGCGGGGCGAGGGCGGGCCGCGTGTTGGTGCTGGGGTGCGGCAACTCGGAAGTGTCGCCCAAGATGTGGGAGAACGGATGGAAGTGAGAGCTCTGTTGTTTTGGCTTGTCATGTTCCGTTTTTGTTCTTTGTCTCACAAGTGTACCCATCGCGAAGAGAACGTGCCCTGGCAAGTCAAAACAAGAGCTGGAGGCACCTTGTCTGTGCCTAAGAACGCGTGGGTTGTCTGGTCGCCAGACTTGGGTTTATGTGTGGCATGCCTCGGCGCGAGTCACGGCAGGCACGTGTATCTGCATCCACTTGCTTATCAATAAATGGGGCCGGTCAATAAACAAGCAAAGCCATGAGCGCACAGGGCGGCGACCAGATGAAGCGTTGAGTTCAGGATCAGCGCAAAAGTGCGACTAATGTAGGCATCAGTGGTTGGGAATCAAACCGGCTTTGTCAGGAAATCTCAAGTCGAAGCTCCGTTGGCTACCGCACCCTTTGCTGACGTCAAAACCACCACATCCCTTTTGCCGCTCTCTCATGCCCAACCCTCTTTTTTTGTTTTTGTTGGTCGCAGAGACATTGTGAGCATCGACTTCTGCAACCCCGTGATTGAGGCTATGCAATCGGCGCATGCCGACAAGCCCGGGATGGAGTGGAAGGTGCTTTTTTTTTTTGTGGAACGTCTCCATGGTTCCGCGTTGTATGGTACGGTTTTCTCCTGTGCAGGTGCCGCCGTAACCCCCAAACACACGAGAAGTGGGTGTGCATCTCGCCTGTTGTTGCATGATGGTGGCATGCACAGTGTCCTCACGCGCTCGTATTTAGTATTTAGTCCCTCCGAATGATGTTTTTATTTGTATCACACCAGAAGAGAGGTAATACCGTACGCTACGGAGTTTTCCCCCCGGGGAGGGGATCGTTTTTGATTCTGAAACCAACCCCCCCGGGGGGAAATTGACGTACCGCGGGGGGTTAGTTTTTTTTTTTAACGCTGCCCCGGGGCTAAGCCCCCCCCCCGGGGGGTTGTGCAAAAATTAGTGATGGCCCACACACCACACACACAGAGAGTGGTGAAACTGAGATGGATAATGTTTACGAACAAGCGTTCAACAAGCAGAGGGAGGAGGAACGTAAGAGCAACAAAGACGAAGAGAAAAAAGAAAGACAGCAAGGAGGACAGCAGCTGGGGGAGGTTGTCTCGTCCCGCGAGTGATTCCAAGAAGAGGAAGGGCCCGCCTTCCAGAGAGCACCCGCCAGCTCGAAGCGCACATCTGCAAATGAATTTTCCGTCCCATATCATGCTTTTTGTGCTCCGCGATGCAACAAAATGGACTCAGAAAATAAGGGAAATACACCCCCCCCGGGGGGAACTCGTGGGAAAAATGGTACCCTGGGGGAAAATTGACACACCCGGGGGATCTTTCTTTTTTTGGTCGAAAACGATCTACCCCGGGGCTAAATTAACGAACTCATGCTTCCAGGCCGGAAAGGTACTGGGGGGCGGGGGAACTCTAACCCGGGAGGGAAACTCCATAGCTGATGCTAGGTGTCTCTTTTTTTGTCGGCCGGAGAGTGCTCACAGCCGTCTGAGAATATCACTACCAACAGTCCTGGATGTTGGTAATTACTGCTGTATGGTACGTTTTTTTCATGTTTCTATCTGGCCGAATGAGCTACACTGATTCAACCCAGGAGATTAGACTTCAGGTATTGTTCAGACCTGATAGGATTTCACACCACACCTTTTGCTTGCAATGTGCCCCATCAGACAGCACTTGATAGTGTTTCCGTACGGTTTCGAACAAGGTGATGGACGCCAGAGATATGGTGGAGTTCGAGACGGGCTCTTTCGATGCTGTGATCGACAAGGGTCTCACTGACTCCGTCATGTACAACGACAAGTTCTCCGTCATGATGGCAAAGGTGGGTGGGTGGTCACTCGACAGCACTTTTGTGGAGATCTGTGACGTAGGATCGGGATCTTGATTGCGGCAAGGCGAAACGGCTGTCTAATCTTGCTTTCGTGAACCCAAAGCCACAAGTGGCGCTGCCCTGCGCAGCTAGTGATACGGCCATGCCTACCTACGACATTACCTACGACATGTCGGGTAGTTCAAACCTATACTTTTCATGTCTCTTGCCTCACTGAGACTAAAATTTGACGTCCTCGCAAGCACTACGTCGAGGCATTCAACACCATTTTTTTCGGCATCATCTGTACCCAACACTGCCCTCAGCAGCTACTTTGGCAGCTACCTCAGCAGCCACTAAAGTAGCTGCTACGGTAGCGTTCAGGTCTACAGATGCTGCCCAAAAGAATGGTGTAGGATGCACACGGGAGGATATGAAACTTTAACCTGAGTTATGGTAATAAAACAACACCTCAGATTAGAAAGCGTTATTTTCTTCCTTTTTTCTTACACAAAGAGAAAAATCAAATTGGTTTCTTTTTCTTTTTTGCGTTTCATTTGTTATGCCGCCGTAACGATTGCAATACCATCTCGATGTCCGGTGGGTGGTGTTAATTTTCAGGCGTCGAATGCCCGTAGTCATAGTTAATGTCTGGCGATGGTCAAAGTCGGCTTGCACGCGAGATGCGATGGCACTGTTCTTTATTTATTTGTATTAGTATTTTCCCTCTCAACCGTCAACCAATGGCTTTCCGACGTGCTTCGAGGCGCAGCCGCTGCAAACACAAGAAAACACCGCATAAACTCCACATATTTTTTCGCGTCAGGTGTTGGCGTTGTTCACCGGTGGAACAGCTACCATCGTCGAACTCGATAGGTCTCTTGGATGTTAAAAGACAAATTATTGTGGACGGGCTGTGGTCTCGACCCGTGGTAGAGTACGGCACCCCCTCATGGGCGAAGCAGGGTTGACCCGCCGAGTGTGTACCCCCCCCCCCCCAAACC